TCATATGCGACAATAGGAGCATATTTCAGTTCTGCTCTCAAATGACCTCCGCGGAATTCAACTTGCTAATTATGAAATTAATTCCAGAGTTAATAACGTTCTCAGAGGTCAGCTGTTCGCGGTCACGTGTCGTGTAACTGAACAGTCGGCATATAATTTGCCGTTTCTTGTTGCTTAATTTACTGGTTCGCGCATAAGGTAACACCACGCGATTCCATTGGTGTACAACAAACGAAACGTACGAATCGAATGGTGCGAACGTTTAACGGGCACGCGACTTATCGCATAACGGCGTAAGGCCGTTCTCGATACTGGTTCTCGGTCAAGCGGATTCTCAAAGTTATGCAGAAGGTTATAAAGAGTGTGGTTGTATGCCTTGTCCGCGATGTACGCTCGCCTCTACGATCTCGCGAAATTTATGGATGTTACGAGTCGCATCGTAAGGAAATGCTTCCATGCTGATTTAATTCGTACCACTTAAACACCGCGCGAAAGGAAGAAAGAAAAGGAAACAGAGAGAACAGATTTCGCCTCCTCCTCTAAGTCGACGCTAAATTGCTGAACCTTATCATCCGAGCCCGTCTACGGATACCGAGAAACAAAGTTACTTCGTGACTTCTTTGCCGATCCCTCGTGAAACTTTTATCCCCGTTCAGCAACCTTCTTGCGGCCACTTGTTCACGTGAATTGTCCTCCTTTCACGCTCGTCCCAGGCCTTAAGGTCAATTTCTCCGGCTGTCCTGCTGGCAAAAATATTACGACACTTAAACGGCCACCGCTCAGACTTCCTTTGATCCCGCGTTCATGAATGAACCGATAGATGCGATTCAATGTGTATTCAGGTATTCGAGTCACTTCCAATACGAAATTTCGCTTCATAGATTATCGCCTCAGATTAGGCTTCTGTTGAAAAAACGGCAATATAGCGAGAGGATCGGTTAATTAGTGCCATGGGAGCTTGAAATGAATCTAGTAATTAACAAGGGATTTTGTTATTTCGGTAGTACGATATTTTTTATAATTCTCTTATGTCCTGATGAAATTATGCAAATCTTGGGAAAGGATATGACACTTGATCGGTGATCGGTGCATAATTGCCATCATAACATCATCAGCCTTGGAATAAATTTGGTAATTAAAGGAGGATTTTACTGTATCGCTGAACTAATATTTTAAGGATTCTTTTTGTACGTCTTTGTGGAATTATGTTAATCCTATCAGAGATGAAGATATACAGTATACTGTTGGTAGAGAAACGCGACACTTCAGCAAGCAATAGCGTCGGTTCATCGAATCGTAATTGATGCCATAAAACTAAACAGGTTTGAAGAGTATTAACAGTACAACCAGGAGAAGTAAATTTACAGAAAGTGACTAGGAGAATCTGTGATTCCAGACAATGTTACGTTTCACTGTCTGCTTTAACTGTCTTTGCTGATCGTTTATTCTGTGATTTATTATTTTCATTCTACTTTGAAGAAATTTTCTAACAAGAGAACTCAAATATTAACCTAATACTAACTACATTAATAATTAATTATATTAATTAACTGACGTCTATACAAATTTCTAATCAATAGTGTATGTAAAATGTTCTTCAAAAAATCTAATAGCAAGAGAAAGCTTACAATTATATTGAAATTTTTAAAATTCATCAATTAACACGGTGATTAACTAATACACCGTTGATAAAGGTTTTTAATTGGCCTACTCCAAAGACATAAATAGAATCTAACAGTACCACTTCCACCCGGAATTGCAGTCTATTCGATTCAGTTAGTACAAGACAACGTGGTGGCCACTGGTCGATACACTGTCTGTTTTGCGGCCACTAAAATAATCCAATCGTATTAGCTACACGTACGAATATCAATTGGTCTGTCGCTAGTAACCTCGTTACATGCTCAACTATCATTACGGTATCTTATTTGCTCGCTTTGATACCAGAATTCGAACACTGTGAAATAGGACTCTGACATAAACAACATTAGTATGAGCATTAGTAATGGGCTAGCAATCACATGGAATTACATTGGATATAGAATGTTGTAATAATTGGGACATTACTGTTACTTGACGTTTATGAGCAGTCTGAATCTTGTGATAAATAAATAGATTTTCTATGCTCGAAATTTTCTATTTTCTAAGTAGATGTAGACATTTTAGAAATAGACATTTGTAGCCAGACATATTAAAATATTAATAATTAGGCCTTCATTAATATCAAGTCTATTAAATTTTTCAAAATTTTCAAGTATCATCGACTCCAAATAATTATGAAAATAATTCTAAATTTAAATAACTGAAAATCTGCAACAAAATAGCAAATACCTATCGCTAACGAACATAAAATTAAGGATGCCAAGAACCCATTCAACAGAATTCTAGAAATACACAAACCAATAAAATCCAACTATAATCTAAAAAAAGGAAATATACATAGAAAAACGATTCACTTTCAATAACATTGTAATCTTTCCTGAATATTTAAATCGATACCAGTTTAACTAGTTAGTCAGGATCGAGGCAGTGACTGAACTGGTTGGTGTAATCATAGAGTATAAAACGTTATGTAATCCGGCTAATTATGTATGAATCGTATCGATTAGTTACAAATGCAGAAGCTATTAAAACCGTGTAACAATGTTCAATGACCGTAACCAATTTACAGGGCATCAAATAGTTCGTAGTATAATTTTAGTGTTCGATTCGAAACAATTCAACCGAACGATCATCGTTAAACATCGAATTCGATCAATATCCATTGTTTCAAGGAAGGGTATGTACTATTTTGACATTGGTGCGTTCGGCCGATTCCGATTCCGATTCCGTCGAAATCGAACGAACCATCGTGATACGTCTTAATACCTTGCATAAAATGAAACGATCGCATCGGGATCATGGGTTGCGTGGGTTTATTAGAAAACGAGTCGGTAAGACACGCATCGGTGGATGAAACGACAAGGCTTAGGGGGCTATTGGGTCGATCAGTACTCCAAGGGCGGACGAATAGCGGCCGGATCGTAAATCGACGAAGACGAGGCAAGACGACAAAATGGTCGTTTCCTAGCGAAATTCCGCGGCGGAAGATTGTCGATTGCGATTGAACCCGATGAGACATCCAGGCACCGTTATTCCAGCATGGTGACGAGATGGTATAGGCACCTGGTACGAGTGCTACGAAGTCTCTCTCTCTTTTCCTTCTTCTTTCCCTTTCTTTCTAGTACACCTTCGTTTCGTTCCACGAGTCGAACAGCGTCTAAGCATCGCGTGAATCGGCCAAGTGTGTATATATACGTCGGATGGAACACCGACGCCCGCTTAGGTCGCACTGTTCACACGTGCACCCGATTTTGCTCTCTTTGGGATCTCTTCCTTTTCCTCTTCCCTACCCCGGTTACGACGTCCCCGTTGCACTCTTATCATCCGCTCCGTTTTCTAGATCGCCAGGTAATTATTGTTTACCCGGCACGCATCATTTGTTGAAAGTTCTTAGGGCACTGGGTGAACCGGTAGATGCTGAATACCAGAACAGTTGCGTGTAACTTGCCTTTCGGGGGCAAAATTCAATTTTTATTTGGTACAACCAGCCTTCCCCTTTATTATGTCACAAAATATTGGACTAAATGTTATGCAATTTTATTTAAAATAAATTTCAATTTTTTACCCAAGTTTGTCAACCAAGGAGCTCCTCAAAAGTCCCAGAAATTTTAATGCGGTCCTGGGTACAAGATAAATAAAGAAATATTCAAAAAATGACTAATTAAAAAAAAGTATTGTTAAATAAGGAACAAAGTTTGCGATGGAAGATTGGGTCGTAAGGGTTAAATTAAGTGTGATGATATATACAATAATTCTGACGTATAATTAGAAAGAGGAAAGGAAACGGAATTACTGTGGCGTAAAGAACCTAATTACCTCCGTTTCTTGTGCCCGCAATCTGATGCGTGGTCTGGCAATGTGCTCCGTTCGATTATCCTTACCGTTAGTGCGTTCTGTACATACCTTCTAGCTTTACGAAAGAATTCTTCGCACAGAAACACGCGGAATATGTGGAATAGAATTTGGAACTTTTAACCCTTTTCTAAGTATCACTGAAACAGTTCCAAATGGTATAAAAATTGTCATTCTTGAGTTTATTATTTCCCTGGGTATTTTTAACATTCCATTCTGAGATTTTGGGATTAAATAGAGGAAACATATTAGAAAATTATTGTGACATTGCGATGGAAATAAATACGATGTATTTGTGTAAGTCGGGCCGAGTCGCTCCGCGACGTCTCTGCCGGGATTGAAGTAAACATCGTGCGATTTCGTTTACTCGGGACACACGTTATAATGTGTTATAATATATCTACCAATTCAGAATATCAAATTAAAATCTCTACTAGAAGACAAATTTCCGTAAAAGCTACCACTACTTTTCAACAGTCACCCAACAGAGGACCACTATCTCAACATCGAAAACCAATAAATCACAAAGAATCTCCAAAAAAATAACACGTCCACTTAAAAACCATCATCATTTTCCCTGTCAAAACCGCTCCATTGAGGTATTTAACGGGGAGCAGGTACACCTCCGCGGCAGGTTCGACGTCCCGTGGGCCGCATAAATTTCGTGGGCGTCCCAGCGGCAAGGTTACGTCACGAGGTGGGGTACCGAAAAACCATTGCCCCCCATTCGACTCAGGAATAGAATTTCAACCGATCGAGCGGGCATACGTGAACGAGATCCAGGTCTGCCCGCAACGGACGGAGTGGGGGTACCCGGGTACGTCGAAATGCTCGAAGAATTCGGCTGGAGGTGATCGACACTCGTGAAAGAAAGAAAGAAAAGATGGTTCGCTTGTTTTCAATGGTGACGTACCTGCGATCGAATTGTGCGTACCGTTCTGTCCTCCTTAGTCGGCAGCGGTCCCAGTGCCCCCTCCCCTTCCTCGGTTCTACCGTTCGGTCGAGGAAGAGTCGTGCGCCGCGGTTCAGCCAGGTGTACCCAGTGCCTAAGAGCCAGCCGGTCGACGTCGTTATACCCTGCAGCGCGGTGCTCGCGAGGTCCGTATTATCATTGCAAATCGTCGCCGATTTTCGAAGTGGTTACACGTGCTCGGGACCGCGATTCGTCAACTGTGATCCCTCGGTGAACCCAGTGCGAAACGTTCGTTTTATTTTTTTCTTTTTTTTGATATTTTTTTTTTTCAACTGTGGTGACCGGCTCGTTCTTTGCCTGGGACTCGCGAGGAACGAAACTTTGCGCGATCTTCTCGGTGGTAACAACGTTCGGTGCTTAAGAATTTCAACAGGTAAGGATCCTTCCCGTCCGCTCAGGTGCATCGCCGAGTGTGTTGTCTCTGCACGGAGAATAAATTGTTCGTTGTATTTTATCGAGTACGGATGGAATTCGTGCGGTCCGGTCACACTTCAACTTTTGCCGACGCTTTTGTACCTGTTCGGTGGATAACGTCAAAACTGCACCCCGGTTGTTATTTAGTTTCACGCGGTGGAAAACAACGCGTTGGAGGAGAGAACTGCGCAGGAGCACCGTTCGTGTTTGTTCGTTCCCTGTTTTCTCGTAGCTTTTATTCGAAACAAAAATAATCGTTTGACGAGAGTTGAAAAAACTCTACCGTGAAAAGGCCTCCTGTGTTTGATTTTATGTTAAAATATAAAGGTGGAAAAATTGTTTCGTTCGTTTCGATGGAATTTTTGTAGCGGAGTTTCAAGTGTATAATTATGAACGTTGATAAATTTCGATGGTTTTTCTGTGGAAATTCTTCAATTTATTGACTGTTCGATTTTATTGTAGTTGAAAGTTGTTTAAAATTGAAGATACTGTTTGTAGATAAAGTAACAGTGAACGGCTCCTCAGAAACAATCAATGTTATCTCTTCCTAGTTAACGGAGTGTATTCTTAAATTTACAGTTACTGCATAACTTATAACGGTGAATCTCCAATTTCTTAGTTTCCGGGGTCCTTTAGCTGTCAATAAGATATCACGAGACGTCAATATATACGTATATCAGTCATTTAATTTAATTTTGATAGAGTGAAATAAATATTTTCAGTGTTATGTTATAAATTACAAGATTTGGATTAAATTAGTCTTTGGTGAAAAGCAGTTGAAAGAAATATTAACTTCTTGATATGAAGAAAACAAGGACGAACTTATCAAATACCAAACATTTTACATAATTTCGTGTTAAAATAAAAAAATACTAATTCCTCCAAAATTGAGACCTCATCAAAGAATTTTTAAACAAATAAATAATTCATTTAGTCAGACCTGGAAAATAATAAATCCTCTGTATTTCCTGCTTACAGATAAACGTAGAGAGACAGGTGGAGCGACACGATGACAAGATTCATCACGACGTTCCTGTTGCTGCAGGCGATCGCGAGGTATGGTCGCGTGGCGGGCGCAGAGTCGACGCACGGTGCTGACCAGCCGGTCCCTTCCGCGGTCCCCTCGGGACTTTCTGGGCCGGATTACACGGGGCCATCCGCCGGTTCCGACGAGTGTGACCAAGATATGGTCGGTTTCGAGCTGGTGACCGGTTACGTGTACAGCGCGCCCACGAACATGCTCGAGTCGATTCCGGGTACGCTGATGCTCACCGATTGCCTGGAGACCTGTCAGACGAACGACTCCTGCCAGGCGGTCAACTACGAGACGGGACTGTGCGTGCTCTTCAGCTCGAACGCCGACAGCAACCCAGGTAAGATTGAATCGTTATCGTATTCGCGCTTGATCCTGGCACGATGGACAACCGATATCCTGCTTCGAAAACGTCCTCCGCGACGGATCAGAATAGGTACCATGGTAGATCGGTTAGATCGGTTAGCCGACGCTGAAACGGTGCCATCCTTTTCGCATCCTACATATATGTATGGCTCAATAGACGAATAAGGAAATTCTGTGAAGCGTGCAAACAGTTCCGCGGAATGATTAAACGGTCATGGGTACGATGGATAAAATGGACGCGTGTCGTTTGTACGAGCCAGACGTAGCCGCTTTATGCAGCACGTGAGTCGCCTGGCTGAAGGCGTAACGGGTTCGATACAATATTCGGACGACGGACGTAGCTGCCCGTTCGGTCGGTCAGTCTTGTGAAAGAGGTCGAGGAATTTCGAGGTCGGGGACAATGTGGAACGCATCGATGACGGAGACGGGTACCGTTTAACCCTTTCGCTGCCCGTAGACCTGCATTGACCAGCTAAACTCATTTCTCTTTATTTTTCCTTTACGTCTATCCAATAATTTAATCAGGTAATTCTTTTGGCTCAATTGTGACCGAAATTTTTAAATTTACTAGAGTTAATTTATTGAAAGAATAATTTTGATAGAAATTATTTTTTTCTATTTGTTGGCTGTTTAATGTTTTTATTAATTATTTGATCTATACGAGTAATTAGTTGTAATAACTGCAAATTAGAGACCATGTTCACAATCTCTATTGATACAATTTTGATAATAACTGGCTAAAAAAAAGGAGAAAAATAGGAGATCTCGTCAATCGAACGAGACTATCTAAATATTTAGTGATCGTTCGATTGGACCGTGTTATGAGTTTGAATACTACGGTTCGTATGTTATCCGTACAACGTGTACGTATATTCGATCGTTATTAATCGTCCATTTCGTGGATTATACGAGGAGGCGTAGCGTAATCCGTGTTTGCCGATAGAATCGCAATATCCCGCGTATCGATTTTGGGTGCTGTGAAAAAATTCACGAGTTTTCAAACCGAGGCCCAACACCGAAAAGCTGTTTTCTTCAAATACTTTGCCACTTCTGAACATGATTCATGATTGTTAATGAATAATACGGTCATTTATTTTGCGTTCAATTGTTAAAATAGAAAAATTTCAAATATTCGAATAATTTTACAAACTTGATTCGAAATTTTCCCTCTATCTGCATGGATTTTCACACGTATTTCCTATAATCCATCAAAAAGACAGAAATGTTCGACAGGAGATCACTGCACGAATTTTTTCCAGCTCCGATTTTGACGATAATTACGGAAACAATGCTTTGGGTGTTTTCATGTTTCCTTTGGTAGATCGACATTTTATTTTCTTTCGTTTTTTTGAAATCCTCGCGCGGTGAGAGTAACAATAAAAAAAAAAAAAAGAACAAAAGAGGTTGAAAGAGCGTGAAAATGAACGACAGCATCGATGAAAGTTTAACACGTAATCCAGGTGCGATATTCGTCCATGAGATGGGTTAAAACTGTCTTCGATTGAAGCCGGGGACGGAAATAGTAGGTCGAGGAGCACTTGACAAATCTCTTTCGCTTGGCTCTCGATATTTCGTCGGGATGTTTTGTAGAAAAATCAACCGCGTCTCGAGACGCGAACGCCGTTTCGTACTTTGCGAGAATTTAAATAAGATCGAGACGAGCCGAGGACAGATATCGCGTTAAGATGATTGCGAGTCCACGTAGCTTCATGCTTCAGACTGGAGGAACCTCTTTACCGATCAAATTTATTTCATAAGGCACGTTTTCACGCGGAAATCGCATTTTCCACTTAGAAAAAGAAAATATCACGAGATAGGGTGTCCTCTTGAAATCTGGAATCATTTAATACAAATCTCTTCTTAGAGATAAGAATATTCGAAATATGAGTGCTTCGAGTATTCAGGTATTCGAAATTTGAGCGTTCAGAGAAGTCAAATATTCGAAGAATAAAAAAGTATTTAGCAAAATCTAAAATTTGAACAGTTGAAGTACTTGAATATTCAAAATTTGTACGCGTCAGTTGAAATCGAAGTTTCTCTAGTCCTCCAATACAGCTAACATTCAAAATTTCGTAATATCTACTCGAAACTTCATGAAATTCGATTAAAGAGGGGGATTAACAGTAAAGCAGTAGCGGAAAGTTTGATCGGTAGTAGTTGGCTGGGTTCGTTAAAAATACAATTTGCTGCAAAGTTGCTTACGGTTCCCATTAAACCGCGTCTGCAGAGTGCATTAACCTATGAAGTGGCGCGATCGACGAAACTAAGATCTCGAATAATATTCACACGCCGGCAGTGCAACGCGGATGTAAGATAACGGCCGTGAAACAGGGATACGTTGTAATAATTTCATCGTTCCATCGAATCGAGCCTGACGAAAGAGACTGTACATCTTTAGCGATCACGTATCGCGAACCTATCAAACATTCAACTGCAATAATTCTCTTCTGTGCTCTCTGTGTCGTATAAATTTCAATTGTTCGATATCGAGGTAATTGAAAGCTGAATCGTTCTTTTTGCTTTTTTTTTTTCAATCATATTAGGTACCGTCATGCGCGACGTACGAACGATAAAATCGAGTCTCACAGAATTATCGAGAGTTACTAAAATTTCCAATGATACGAATGGATCGATCGTTCTCGTTGTTCTTCTGGCTGTTCTCAGTTGCCTCGTTCGAATGAAGGGAAAATTTGAAATAAAAATAGAACGATCGGAATTGCCTGAAACCGTGTATTAAAAAGTTCTCCAAAAAAAAAATAGTAATACCATCATTTTTACAAATTGATGGCTTTGCAAATTGGAAAATGTAGATTCTCTCTGAGCTGTATTTACAGAATTTTTCATATTTTATTTGAACTTCAAAAAATTACATAAATTTTTTGTAATTAGTGGAGTTTCATTATTTTCACTAGACGATATTTACCTTTTTATATTATTACCATTCTTACAATGTTTGCCATTATTATCGTTTATTTCGCAATATTTTAATATTTCTGTTATCTATAATTCCGAGTATCCAAAATGAGTGTGTCTAATTAGAAAATTCAAGCAATTATTATTAATATGAATAATAGATTCCTATGTAAATTCAAACGTCTAATTCTAATAAAATTAGAATTACAGTAAGATGTCGAAATAGCGAATTGGGCCATTTGATTAAACAAATAAATTTTCAATATTTTGAGTAACGAGTGTCATCACGTGCCATATTAAGAACAATTGTTTTCACTCTGACAGTGACGTGTTAATTGTGCCCTCAAAGAAAGCATCATTTGTACTTACAAAATTGGATAATGAGGCCGGAATACGCGTTCTCTATTGAACGAGTTATCGATTACACGGGACACAAGGAGAATCCAAACAGCATCGATAATGAACCTCGAACGAGATTTTCATTAACGATGCGAATCACGCGTCAGATGATCATTTTTATGTACGAAAATCTTGCGAAGAACAATAACCCTGTAACGATCAGATGCATTGTCAGGCAGTTTCAGCGGGTTGGTTCCTCATGAATAATGGATACTGGTGTAAGTAAGTGTAATGAGAAATGCACTAATTGAATCTTCCGGGGTGTAATTAATATAAACTATGCGTCGGTGGCCGACCTGCAAGCGTTAATTAAATGCTGAATGAGTTGTTCCATCTATGAAAAAACAGAGCTATCTTTTGATTAGGCGGGGATCTTCAAAGGTGATTTGCAATTATCGGAGATGGGAACATTTGGAATAATGTTCTCAAAATTATAGTTTTGAAGATAATAGTATTACAATTCTCAAAATCCTAATTTTGAGAACTTATTTTTTCTCACTTCTGAACAATTGAAAATTTTTTTTAAAAAATATCTAAATTTTTACTATCTCCAGTTACACAGTCACGTATACTTCCAATTGTACAGAATTGAATTCGAACAATGAAAGAGAACTTTTTCATTGTTTCATATTTGTCCTTCGAAAAACGTGCTGGAGCATTGGATGTTTTGTAAGGGATGAAATTATTGGAAAAAAATTGGTGCACGCTTCTTGGTGGTGCATAAATTTTCGAGGCTAGGTAAACGCAACGGTGGCCACGAGAACATCGTGAAAACGAATCAACGAACGATCAATTCAAACGGATCACTCGTTTCACTGGTACCGGGCCGATTCGCGTGTGTCTGAAAACAATGCTCGCAAACTGGAACGAATTCGAACAAAGGGGTCTATTTTGTAGTAATTCCTTTTTGTTGGCGTTGTCCAATTGAAAAAGAAAGCAGCGTGAAATAATGTCGCGTTTATGAAGCACTGAAATCACCTTTCGTTCCCTATTCTCAAATCGTTTATTATATTTAATCTGAATATATAACATTGTCAGGACTTCGCAGATGGTGTTCTAATTACCGAATCACTCAGCAATGCATTTAAAGTTAATAAAGCCGAAAACCTACCGCACGACAGTCATGCTCTGTAATTAACAAAAACGGGATCACCGCCGGTATATCCTGGTGTTATTGCTTGTTCATTTTTCCCCGGGGAACGGTATCAGAAAAATTGAATGCGGAGGCACGCATGTAATGATGATGACCGTCGAAAGAGAAAAAAAGAAAGAAAAAAGAGTGGCAAGAAGAGATTGCAAAGAGCCGGATAAAGTGGAACAGGACAAGACAAGAGGGGAGTAACAAACATGCAAAAGATTCGTGGCGCCTCGCGCATTGCCGATCATTTATCGCGAACTCTTCGAGTTGACGAGCGGCTCCGCTTGTTCCCGACAGTTTAACGTCGACGAGAGAGATCCTTTCGCTTCTGGTAATTTCAAATTCTTTTTTTTTTCTCTCCTCTCCTGCTTCCTCTTCGCTTCGCTGTCAGATAAAAGTCGAACCTGTACGATTTTAAAACTAATTGCGTCACTTTGAGCGAGTAACGCGAAATCGACCGTGTTGAGCGTGCCTGCCTCCGCGGTATTTTTCGAGCAAGAGAAGAAAACTCGAGGAAGACAGAG